CAGTCGATATTAGATTATTCGTATGCGATTTATGCATGATGGAGCTCCGCCGCATTTTAGCCGAGTGGCTAGGCAATTTTTAAATCGACACTTTGCAAATAAATGGATTGGTCGTGGAGATTGCATGGCTTGCTCGTTCTCCGCATTTGAATCCATTAGATTTTCATTTCTGGGGACATTTAAAATCTATTGTATACGGAACGTCGATTGAAAATGCTGATATACTACGAAATAGAATAGAGCAAGGCTTCCGACAAATTCGAGAAACACCAGGAATGATAGAGAGAGTAACCAAATGAATGACAAGACGCGTGCAGGCTTGTCTTCAAATGCAAAGTGGTCATTTCGTGCATCTTTTGTAAAAGCTAATTAAAACAGAAAATTCATTATATCTCATAAACGAAGACAGATAGGACATATATTTATGTGACTTTTTTTCATTATTTTTAGGCGTACAATTAGCTCGCAAAGTGGGTCCCACAAGTTACGAAACATATATGGAAGCAAATGTAATATCGGCCGAAAAATATATACACGTCGCACGCAGTTCCTAGCACTCGTTTCTTGTTAGAACCTTCGTCAGCTCGAAATTATTGTGGAAAAGTTTGCTAGATGAGACCAATCCGTTAACAGACAAATTATTTATCAAACAGTCGTTTTTAAAAGAGATGGAATATTACGCAAATTATTGTCACATGCGTAATCCTTAACCTTCTAAGTACTAACGTCCGATATATCAACACCTATATAATATCTGAGAAAGCCAAATGTCCGATATATCGACGGTCTCTCTCTTCTTGTTTTGAGTAGCTTGATTTGATTTGATTAACTTTGAAAATATAAGAACTACAATAATTTATATGAAAACATGCGATTTGAATCAGTTCACTAGCGAAGGAGGATTTAAATCCTCCGTCCTTAGAAGGTTAAAGGACACGAGTATCAATTTTTTTCATGTTTCTTCTCAATCTCCTTAAAACACACACAAGTGATTCTTTATTACCACAATTTCGCACAAAGAGATAGGAAAAATTGCTCGACGGCGACTGAACAGCCAAGAAGATGAAATAAATAGACGTCGAAAGAAATCGATGATTCACGGGACATCGTGGACCGAAAATGGCGCTATTTGACCGATCGCTCGGATCTCTTCTAACTTCCATTAGATCACCTTTTGGAATAGCGAAACGTCGGTTTGCCCTTGGCGCGCCGCGAAGAAACGGGAAGGAGTTAACGAGCGAGAGACATGTCGGAACGCCCACGGGGGAAGATGCCGCGACGTTCCTAAAGACTCGAGCCAGTGCCACGTTTAAGTACCACGATTGACAAACAACGCTTCATTCGCTGGTATCACGGCCACTCGCAGTAAAATTATGAGCATCGATTCCGATTATGTTCCTTAATTCCTTGACTTGTAATATCGTGGTGAACAAATGAAGGTCTGGATTTCAATGGGAAAGTAAAAATTGCAAACCTATGATAATTTCAAATCTTAATTTTAAACTTAATTTCATTAAACTGATACGTATAATGATTCGATACTTTGAATATATTTCTAAATTAATTTTACAATTTTGACGAGTGATGGTCACACCTTAAAATTGAGAAAAAAAATCGTAAGGCAAGGGGTTAAGGAAAAGATCGCATGGTATCTCGTCGAAAACGAAAGACGAAGGATCGGAAGGAGATCGCGTGGGATCTGAGGGGCCAACGATGAACTTGCTCGCAACCTGGCAATTTCGTCAATCGTGGAATTACACGTTTACCATCGGTCGTGCACGAGTGGAACCGCTATTTTCATTCTTCGACACGTGTCGAAGAAAAATGCCACTTGAAATAAATTTGACACGCGAGAACACATCGGGCGGAGGGTAGAATTGGGAGTAGAATTTCAGCGAGAGAACGATTTCTTATCTTCCGAATTTAACCCTGCTGCGAGTTTTTATTTCTGTACTTTCTTTTTCGACGAAGGAAAAGATTGTTTGAACACTGAAACTACCAAAATGGTCAAAATGACCAACTTCTAATTTTTCTCGAATATTTTTACAGATGCAAAACAGTGCATTAGAGAGACTTAAATGAATTTTCGTAAAACGTATTGTAAAGTTTTCTATTTTTTCTTCCTTTTTTCACGTCTTTGATGGCAGTTCTACGTTTCTAAAAAAACGTTCTAAAAAAATTTTAAAAATTGTACTAGTATTACTTCATTAGTATATTAGTGATTATCTCATTATTTCTACAAACTGAAATATTTTTCAACAACGTTAAAAATACTTTCTGATCGAGAATGACACTCGAAGAACGCAGCAGGGTTAGTTAGTGTCTAAAAAAAAGTAAGTCTAGGTCTCCCAAAGGTTTCGCGGGAAGGGTGGCTACGTATGACGAACTCGCGAGTTCCTGTTCGTCGATAGAAACAGCTAAAGCTGAGCAGAACGGCGAAATAAGTACAGGCAGTCGTCCTATGTAGGTTGTTTTAACAGCCGCTGACTAGAAAGTGCCGCGAATAAAAACTCTGAAACCGCATTGCGGGAGATGACACCTATCCACACGCCCCTTGTCTCTCCTTCCGGTTTTGCGCGACTTTTTGCACCTGTCTCCGCTGAACTTTCTAACCTATACAACTTTGCCGCGCGAACAGACGAGCAATCGTCACGAAAGTCGGCGAGAAACGAGAGTTCGTTCGTGGAAATGGGAAGATGAAATTCGAAACGAGGTTCGAATCGAGGTTTCTCGACTTCAGATTGCCTTCAATCCCCCCCCCCCCCAAGGAAGGCTTCCTTATCGGCGAGAGCTGCCGGAAAATTCATCGCCTGAAAATTGGCAATTGAGAAACACGAGGCACGCGAGCCGCTGTCTCACGCGATCGTTTAAACGCGAAATCCATTCGATGCTGCAAGTTTCCACCATCGCGAGCCGATCGTCCAAACGTTACTAAGATATTTCACCCCTCTGATCGTAGCGAGCGATCATCGCACGACTCCATGAAAGCGTGAAGTCGTTCTGGAGTTGGTAGCCGCTCAGGTTCGAACGTGTGTTTGAAATTTGGTGTGTCGTTCACGTTTCAGGTACGAAGAAGATGGAGTACAAGACCAGGCAGTGGCACGAGAAGTGCTTCTGCTGCGTGGTCTGCAAGAATCCGATCGGCACGAAGAGCTTCATTCCGCGCGAGCAGGAGATTTATTGCGCCGCGTGCTACGAGGACAAGTTCGCCACCCGATGCGTCAAGTGCAACAAGGTAAACCCACGTTCGCGCGTTTCAGTTCCTACTGAACAACCGGGGGGAAGGGGGGAAACTTCAGAAAAGTTAGGGGGAAAATACAAAAATTACAAAATACAAGAAAAACTAGGGGGAAATGCGGAAAAATTTCGAAACATTCCGTGAAAATGTTCATCGCCGCTGGGGAGATACGAATTTAATGAATAAATCAAAATATCTGATCGAAAATAATTAGGTGATAAGATTAAGCTTTCTTCTTCTTGGTAAAACTACTAAAAAGTAGAAATGCGCGAGTAATTTCCTTCTTTAACCACTCGCGCTGGCAACTGACTGCGGACCATAACGAGTGACCAAATACCGTCTACAATAATTCGTCGCTTTCTTTTCAAACTCGTCGGATATCACTTGAGAAGTAATGAATTTATCATTTGTTTGTCTGGGTTATGCTTAAATATACTTAAAACTCAGAAAATATTGCAATTTTGGGACCAAATATTATCATTATTATATTATTATTAATAATAATATAATATATTATATTGTATTATATTATACTATATTATATTATATTATATAAATTATTAATATTATATAATATTATAACATTAATTATTATATTATTAATAATAATTATTATTATTAATATTATTATTATTCGAGAAATTATCATTATCGAAGAATCTTGTCCCTCTATGCTACAGCTGTTTTAAAGAAGACAGTTCGTTTGTTCGAGAAGAGTGTGTTAGGATAGAAGAGAGAAAATGGCAAAAGGGGTTTTCAATCGTTCCAGATCATCACCAGCGGCGGCGTGACGTACAAGAACGAGCCGTGGCACAGGGACTGCTTCACCTGTAGCAACTGCAACAATTCACTGGCTGGCCAGCGATTCACGTCTCGCAACGACAAGCCCTACTGCGCCGAGTGCTTCGGAGAACTGTTCGCCAAGAGATGCACCGCCTGCTCTAAACCGATCACTGGTACCTATCGCTCGATTCTCTCGCAGAAACACTCGCGCCATCCTCTTAACGTGCTAATTCTGACCGATCCTCTTTACGTACATACGAATATATATATAAATTGTTATACCATAACTGTAGTAAAACAACAGTCGATCGTTTCAGAATTCAGACGATCAGAGGAGTACGAATATTTCTGTGCATTGCGAGATACTAGATATATCCAAACACTCGGTATATAACTTTGTCACAACTAACGAGACAAATTAGAATTGATCAATATCGGAATAGACGAAGGATTTTTCGAGAAGAAAATTATCCAAAAAAGGGGTTGATTTGGAGAAAGGGAAGATCTCTAGATATCTTTCGCGTGTATTACAGGCATTGGCGGCACCCGCTTCATCTCATTCGAGGACAGGCATTGGCACAACGATTGTTTCATCTGCGCGGGCTGCAAGACCTCGCTGGTCGGCCGCGGATTCATCACCGACGGCGAGGACATCATCTGCCCGGATTGCGCCAAGATGAAGGTGATGTAAAAGAAGAGAAGAGCGCGAGGACATCGAACGAAGAAGAACGAACGAGAAGAAGGGGAGAGGGAGTAAGGAGTAAGGAGACGAGAAATTATATCAAAAAGGCCTAACACGGCGTTGTCCAGTCTGTACACGTGGGAATAGTAACCATCCTCGCCGAAGGAAACCACTAGCCAGGAGGCGAGGAAGATCTCCGCTTCGAGAAGAGAATGAAACGAAGAAGGATCAACGATCGGAAGATGGTTCATTGCCATCTCTCGAACGCGGGCGGATGTCGCGAATGAAAAATTACCGTGTTTCTCTTTCTTCCACCCCTTGGATTATATTTTCAGGAAACATGCACGCGTACGCACATAGTACGTACAAGCAGAGAGAAACACGGTGCTTTTTTTACCACCATCCCTCCCTGCGATCTATTTTTTTTTTTTTTTTTCTTCTTTCGAGAGTTTCCTCGATTCTTCTCGATCGGCTCGACAGTTTTCTCGAAGCAGAGGGGAGCACGCGAGCAGACAGACACACGACGAGGGTTATACTTCCTAGCTTCGTAGTTTTTAGAGGCCATTTTTAGTCACTTGCGATTGTGATTTCGATTTCTCCTTCGCGTCGTCAAACGGGGGGGGGGGGGGGGGAGAACCAAACGCGCGCGGCCGCGAGTCGAGGAGGAGAAAGACGCCTTTACGAGAAAGAAGTTGAGAGAATCAAAACGCATGCCTTAACGTATAGTTACTGTCGTCCGGTTGTTAGACCGTCGGTGTTAGAAATGTCGGAACGAAATGCCGCGTAGCTGCATTGTCGTGGCATTGTTAAACGTTATTGTTCTTTTTTTCTTTTCGCTTTGCGCAACGATGCGAGAAACGAGCGACGCGCGTGGACAACCAGCGAGTCGAGGGGGGAAAAGAATGGAAGATCCTATATATTCATACGGGACTAAATTTGATAATAATAACGTTATTTTTATTTAACTGAAACTCACACGTACACACGCGACACAGTCTCACACACACGTACACACGAGTTTTCTCTCCCTTTCTCTCTCTCTCTCTCTCTCACTCACTCACTCTCTCTTTCTGTCTCTCTGTATCTATCTACTTTTATTCGTCGTTCCGCGATATTGTACAGTAACACACTCGTGCAAAATTATAAGTATATAACGAACGACTAGATCAAACGACGGGGCTGCATAATGTAATTGTTCCAAAGGCAATACGAAATCTTTCAAATTCAAAAGTGTCTTCGACACGGCGGACTTTTAAGTAGTTCGAATTTTGTAACAAATTAAATCCGTAGCTTTCCCATAATTCTTAACTCTTGTACGATCCTAACTTCACACGAGTAGACGCAAGTACACGGTATTCGCGAGTGCGTGGACGTGGGAATTTCAACTGCGACCGGCCATCCTGCTCGATCGTTGCATCTTTCTTTTTTCTCGAGCAGGAAAGCTGGCCGGCGATTGAAACGATCTCGTATCCGCGAGCGTTCTTCCATGCTTTGACCGCGTCGAACCGAGAGAAAATGATAAAGAATTGCAATAAAAAGATTAAAAAGAAAAAAGAAAAAGAAAGAAAGGAGCAAACTGAACAAAGAGAAAGAGGATTCATAATACACACGCATTCACGACACACACGCATGCCGAACGAGTGTGCGAACACGCACACGCGGAGAAATACACTAAATTGTGGCCTTATCCGCACGAGTACATAGAAATAAGAGAGAGGACAAGAAAAAAAGAAAAAAAGAAAAAAAAAGAAACTAACGTTTTGCGAATGACAATTAGTTTGTTGAATATGGTACTGTCTGTGGTAGGGACGTATTATCGTCGAGAAGAGAAAGAACGACCGTGCAACGGTGAAATGAGCTAACAAACGGGAATGAAACGATGAGAAGAAGCGGCGAGAAGAAAGAAAATGAAAGAAAAAAAAAAGGATATCGCGACGACCAATAAAAAAAGTACACGTGCTATATAATATATGTTCTTACCGATCACTCACATACTAATCGCCTTAATTAGTAAAAAAAAAAAAAAATTAATAATAAAGAGCAGAGATTATTCTATATTCAGCGTATCGTATACACTGTTATACTGTGAAATTGATAAATAAATAAATGTAATTATTTACAACGGGGGTTTCATTTTTCCGAAACTGCGAGTGAAACAGTGGAATCGGCGCAGGCGGTTAGTGGCGATCAATTATTATACTGTTTGATCGTACCATTCGTAATTGTAATAATGCGATTCATACATTTTACGTGAAATTGGGAAAACTCACCTTCGCGATTTCTCGTACATTTTGCACTCACACAAGTAAAAATTTAAACTTTTTAAAAGAAAGGGAATTAAACATCGCGGATGGAACTTCAAGAGGACAGAAATTAAATCTTTGATTAATTGGCTTCGTTAATAAAAATTTATGGATCTGGAGATGCTAGCGCCGCGTAGCGGTGAAAAGGTGGAACTAATATCTGCTATGAAAACTGAAAAACCAAATTTGTTAATCGATTAATTGAATTCTGGAACTTTGTGAGAAATAAATTAAAGCTTCAATCTTCAAAATCTGAGTGAGATAATGCCGACTTTTTCCTGTTAATTCTAATTTTTATATTAATTATTGTAATATTTCGAAATAATACCAATGGTTCTATCCTTTCACCGTAGGATGGCGAAAGAGCTTCTATACGAAGATATCATTCGCGAAAAAACCAATTTACGGGATTAATTTGTAAGCTTTTTCAATTGTGTCTTCTTAATTAGATCCTTAGCTTTCGTTCAATACCACACTCGATCCGTAGAAAAATTTATTTGAATATTTTAAAATTTTTAGTACCGACAATTCACCGACAATTGGCGCCACCACATCCAAAATGATACACTATATTAATTTGCCTATAATTAATTAATCATGAAAAGAAATAAAAGTGATATCGTACAAAAGAAGGTTCTGAGGTTTAAAACTCCATTTTAGTTTCCATACAGTTCAAAAATTTAACGTGGAAGTCGAAAAATTCCAGTTTCTTCATATAGAAATTAGTTCCACCTTCTCACCGCTATGTGACGCTAGTGTTTCTAGGTCCATAAATCGATCAAATTTTTATCTGCCAAAAAAAGCGATTTAGAGATTTAATTTATAAACTTTTTTGATTGTATCCTCTTAATTAGAGTCTCAGCTTTCTTTTGACGCCCCGCTTGATCTAAAGGAATTTATTTAAATATTTTTTAATATTTTAGTACCGACAGTTGACCAATAGATGGCACCACTAAGTCTGAAATTGTGGCAGCGCGAGTATTTAAAAAGGCGAGATTTAAAAAATTCATAAAATACGATACTCTGCATTAATTTGCATATAATTAATAAATTGCAGAGGAAATTGAAATAATGTCATACCAAAAATGTTCCTGACGTTTAAAGCTTCAATTTCATTCCCATGTCCAGGTTGGCACAATCAGGCTAATCAATTTGATTTTCAACTTAAACGTAGGAACTAATTTTATCTTTTCACCCTTATATCATTATAACGTTTTAATGTCTGCAGTGACTTCCGTTTCCGGTTAAATTTCCATTCGCTTTATTATTATTGTATTTCATATAATACAAAAATACTGAATTATTCATTGTCCGACTTTAAATTGGCCTAAATATAACACGATTAACAACATTATACATTTAATTAATAATTCTCATTTTTTATACACTTTTAACAAAATACAACAATAAAAATATCTGCAGACCACGTAAAATACACGAAAACATATAAAACATCCAAAGTAATATTTATTATGATATTTAACATGAAATAAATTTATATTTCAATTTCACTTCTTTAGTTATGTTAACAAATATCTACAATTGTAGAAGTATCCACAATCTTCTTATAAATAAATGAAATTCTGATATAGAAGGTAAAGATCACTTTTTGCTAAAATAAATATGCTTGAGATCTCTCATCCGAAGTTTCTATTTAATTATCAAAACCATTCATTACGAGAATAATCGACTGCGAAGGTGTGATATTAATAACACTATAACAACGTTATTGTAGCATCGTGTAATATTCAGCGATCAATAGCTACTAAAAATTGAATTAGAATAACTTTTCATAGACATATATTCATTTATATTTAGTGATTTATATTTCTACTTCTTTTTCATTATTATCGATCGTTACTTTATACAAAAATCACTATACTTTATGCAGACGTGACAGTGTACTAATTCCCAATAAAATTCGCCTCCGGCGAAGATTGCTGACCAAAAGTAACCGATCGTTATTGCGTTAAAATGGCAAATTCGATTTGTATCTGCCTAGCCGTCGCTCTTTTATACCTCAAACTCAGGACAAGTCATTAAATAAGCTACGCGTGGATTTCAAAATTTTTGTATCCGAAAGAAGTAGAATTTCAATGAAGATTTATTTCAACGCTCTGCATGTTGCAATAAATACTCTATTTTTGAATGTTTCACTTGTGTTCGCGTGTTGCGTTTCTCCGACTTCCAGCGAGAAATAAAAATCCGCGGCGTACACGTAACAATTATTTCGAAAATTTCGCGCGGTCCGATAGCCTCGGTTCGCATACGCGGCCGCTTAATTAAAACTCATGTAAATCGAGTAACCGCGCGACGCTACGCCAATTAACTTTACATCGCGAGCCGGAGGTAGTGAAAGAACGAAACGGTGTTTCGTGAGGAAACAGCAACAAATTGGCCAGCGCCCGACAGTCTTCCGCCGGCGGAGATCGACAAAAATTCACGTAACACGGAACTGCTTGTTGAAATGATGCTCGTCCGATTATCGCGTGCGTGCTTTAAATCTTGGCCGTGACAACCGTCTCGTTTATTTTTCCTTCTTCTTGCCCCGCGGTGATTTATTTCAGCTGCGCGAGCCTGCCAAATCGAATACGTTTGCAAAACCAAAAGTCGAGAAATTGATAAAATAACAGGCAATCCTTTCTTTCGAGATGTGATAGCTTGTAGTTGACATTCAAGCAGACACGAAATGTGAAGTCATTGTAAATGTAATGTAACATTCAGGAAACGGTGTGTGTACTCTTTGGCTTTTCGAGATGAGAATCATTTATTATTCCAATAATGCCGAGTTTTGTCATTTAGTAATAATAATTACTGAATATTATATATATATCGAAACTGGTTAATTGGAATTTGATCGACGTATATATTGTTGAAAGCTTCAAACTTTATTGAAAGTTTGGCTACTTCATCTGACAATCTAATGAAACGTAAAGGAATAAGTAAAAAGCGCACCGCTATGCATATACCATCGAAAACTATTCCGTTTTACAATTGGGAGATACGAAAAAAGGGAGTTTCGTCAACAGTGAATCAAGGAAGGGAAATAGAATTGCATTTGCGAAGAACTTCGGAAGAGGACAAGCGAAAGAAAGAGAGAGGTGGAAAATTTCGGCGAACGTCTTTGCTTTAACGAGAAGGAAGTAATTAGACCGAGCTATATTATAGGAGATTTCAGTGTCTAATTAAAACCGTCTCTGGTTCGAGGGAAAAGAAAATGGAAAATTTAATAAACCTTTTGCCCTGGAGCAAGTTCCCGAACAATGTATCTATAGCGAGGGTTAAAGAACAGGTCGGCATAATTTTCTGCTTCCTTTTCTCCAGGTGTTCCGCAGAAAAACTGACACAGTTCCTTTTGTCTCGGCGATAGAACACACAGCTACATCTAATCTTTTTCTCATTTCTGAACTTCAATCCGGCATTTCAACTCTGTCAGTCTTTCCTGTTACTTTTCCAAAGTGTTCGTTTAACCCTCGAATAGTGGTGGCGAATAGTGGTTAATTAAATATAAAAGAAGAATTATAAACAATTTAACAATGTAAAAATTTAATAATATTCATAAACACGTTTCTCCCCGTTTTAAATAAAACAAAACGAAACGAAACAAATTGCTAAAATATTCAATAAAAGAAACACAACAATGTAGACGTTTTCGTCCGGTTATGTGGGGCAAAAGTACGCTATTAGGTCAAATTTAATTGTCCACCGTCGGAGGAAATATTATACAATATTATAATATTATTGCATTTCATTAATAATAACAACATCATAACATTATAAAATATTATAACATTAATAATAATAGTATAATAGAACTATTATATTTCGTTCGAATCGTAAAAGAAGAATCATCGATCCCTTTCGATTTTCTTGCGAAACAAACACATCCATTTCGGGGAGAAATCGGAAATTCGCCGTTCGATCAATTTCCACGAAGCCCCGAATTCGGCGCATAAAGAAAATCACGAGCTTCCGTTGCAGGTAGACACACGTGCTGCCGGGTGCACGGCGAGTCGAGGTGAAGCGAGGTCGATGGAAAGTGGCATAATCGCGGATGTGGATCGGCTCAAGGAGAGCAGAAGAGGAGATCCTTTACCTTACTTATGTAACGAGCGGTCGCCGTGTGTCTCGTGTCTTCGACCGCGTCCCGAACACACACACCCACACACACACACACACACACACACACACACACACACACACACACACACACACACACAGAGAAAGAGAGAGAACCTTCTCTCGACCGTGTTCCTTTCTCTCCCTACTCCTTCCATCGTGTACTACTCCTCTTTCCTCTCACTACTTCCACGGAGCCGTGGCCGTCGTCGTGGTGTTCCTGTGACCGGTGTCCCTGAAAATTCCCTCGGTCTTATTGGGTCGACGCCGCTAGTCACCCCCTTTCTCCTTCGGATCCGTTTTTAGAATTGTCTCTAGAAGCTCCGAGCTTTCCTAGAATCATCGAGCAATGGATCTCGTTAACTTTAACGACAGTAGAAATAGTAGAACATTTCTCGAAAGCGGGACAATATTTGGAAATGGCAAATAGAAAAAAAAGGGGGGAGGGGGGGAAAAAGCTGATTTTTAACGAACACTTTGAGTTTAATATTTCTTTTTTTTTATTTTTATTTTTCGTGTGCTTCTGTGCGTGGTGTTCTCGTCACGTTACGGGAGGAAATCTCATGTTTATTTTATGTATGCATGAGAA